GGAGGAGGACAGCGGGGAGGACAAGTTCGAGGAGATGTGGGCAGAGTCGTGGAGGTTCCTGGTGCGTCCAGGAAGTTTGAGGAACAAGGTAAAGTCTTTGAAGGGTTGGGAGGAGGCCTGGAAGATGCTGCTGCCCCCGTACCAGACGCAGAATGGACCACGGGCCAAATGAAGACCTGATAGTGTCTGCTCTGCTCTGCCCTGCTAAGATGTCTAACCTACTTGGCATAAAAAGACTTGAATCAAGAATCTAATCTTGATCTGAGTAGCTTTGACAATAAACTTATCATTTACAATAGGTCCAGGTCTATTTTTTTCATGGTAAATAATATGAAAAACTTCAGTTCCATGGCCAGGACTAAAACAGGGCTACACAGACAATACCAGGTCTATTCCTGGTCTACCCTCGACTTAAGTCAAGTCCAGATAGATATTTTGAATTCAAGTCATTTTAAGTTTGGTTTACTATAGACTGAACACAATGCAATGTAGGTTCTTTTTGGCAGTGTATGAGTTCGGTCTGGATACTGTATGAATAAAACCTTCAAACTGATCATATATATTGTCATATCTTGGCAACATTCATCTTGTTTTCAGTTACTGAGCATTCTGAAAAGTTCATTTGGCACAATCCAGGCGCATGTGTAGAGTCCTTTCAGCCACTAGAGGGCCCCAAAAGACTAAACATACCAACTGCTTTACATTTCTTAAAACATGTTCAGTAGCCTACACAATATTTAGTTTAGTCATGACATTTAAGGGGGTGATATTGTGTTGATATAGTTTATTTTCAAAATAAATTAAGTCCTATTACATCATCACATAACATCACATGACTGTAGCTGGCACACAGCTGTGATTACACACACCCTCAACACACACCCGCCCCCTTCTGGAGAGCGAACAGCCCCAAATCTCATGTTTTTAATCATGAGAGACTGTGAACAACCATGCAACGCCTCTGAGTTTCCTCCAGAGGACCTGGACCCCACATGGGCGCCACTCAGACTAGATGAGGAGTCTCCAACCATTTACCCCTGGTGAGCTACTTCTACAAACCCAGAGTGGCAGAGAGCTACTCCTTTTAGGTGTTACACGAAATAGAGCTGTTATAAAATTAAAAACTGCCATTAAATGGAGTGTGATGCCTGCAAACATAAACCAAAAATCAATTTATCAGTGCACAATATCAGATGTTTACCGTGTTAACAGACATGTGATTCATCAGATTTATATTATTCAGTGGAATATGTTAGTATATAACTCCTACATTCTTAGGGGAGCTATTTGGGACGGGTGGTGTAAACTGGGAGCTCCCGTCTACAGGTTGTCAGTATGAACAAAATGTCATTACATTTGAACCTGTGGTAATAATCTAGTGTGGAATTACCATGACCTCATCAGTATCAATAAACCACTCACACTTTATCCAGTAGGTTTTCCTGCGGATGAGCCTGCACCCCTGGGTGCTGAAACCCTGTCACGTGTTTTAATGATAAAGGTTTCCCTTGGGTAGTGCTTTACTGCCATCTGCTGTCCTTGATCTGAAACGTGACAAAGCACTTTTGGGGTAGGTAGGCTCAAAGTTTTCCCTTTGGCTGTGTCCACTGCATCATCAACATCACCTACACAAACACAAACACAAACACAGGGCTGTTACGTGTGTGATCCATCAGGACTTTTCACCTTTAACACCTCAGATATAAGTTCAGCTTCTTCTTTTAGACATGTGTGCGTGAGGAGCAAAGGCCACACTGCTCAGGCACGTCTCAAGAGCACGACAGGACAGGAGCATGAGGAGAAGGAGAAGCCAAGTGTATGAATGAGCTGGAGGCACTGACTATATATATATATATATATATATATATATATATATATATATATATATATATATATATATATATATATATATATATGTATATATAATATATGTATATAAAACAACTTCAGCTGACCAAAGTGCTTCACATACAAGTCAACAAAACAGTTACATATACATATGAACAGATAACATATGAAAACTACAATAAAACACCAACATGACCTGACTGGCTTGTACTAAATGCAGGGAGAAGAGGTGAGTTTTCAGTCTAGTCTTAAACTGCATTAAGACTGAGAGGATCTGACAGGAAGAGGAAGGCTGTTCCACAGTCCAGGCGCTGCCACAGAAAAGCCTCCACCACCTCTTGTCTTGAGTCTAGTTTTGGGCACAACCAACAGGAGCTGGTCAGCTGATCTCAGAGCTCTGGGTGGAGGACAGGGCTGCAGTACCCCCCCAAACAGACTGGACCCATAGAGTGTAAAAATTAATTTCAAATTGCACCTAATATAAGTCAGGGAATCAGTGCAGGTCACACAGCACAGGTGTGATGTGTTATCGTCTCTTAGTATTTGTCAGCAGACGAGCTGCAGTGTTTACAACACTGCAGGAGCCTGGTCCAGCCCGACATGCAAAGAACTGCAATAGTCCAGGTGCGATGTTACAAATGCATGGATCAAGCATTTTCATAATCTGCCTGTGGGAGGTCGGGCTTTATTTTAGCAAAGAGCCTCAATTGAAAGAAGCTGGACATCATCACAGAGCTAATGTACATGTCCAGTTTGAACATAGAGTCATAATCACCACAAGATTCCTCACTGCAGGAGACAACAGGAGGACAGAGGACCAATCACACTGTCATGTCCAAGCAGTGGGTTAGTTTGCCCAAACACCACAATCTCAATTTTATTTTGGTTTAAGTTCAGGACGTTTGTGCTCAGCCTGTAGATCAGAAGTGAGTTAACAACAAAAGCAATATAATTTCCAATAGAATTAGAAAAACATCCTTGAACAGACGACTTGGAATAATATCTACAGGTATTAGAGATAATATCTGTCCTCTGTCCTAAAAAATAAAATAAAAAAATAGTAGTAGTTTTTTTGATGTTGGTCCTGTTAGAATCTTTATCTTTATCGTTTTTATGACTTTTTTTTATACTACTTTATACAGCAATGAACAGAATCTCTCTACAGAAGACACACAGAAGAGCGTGTCTCAATCATCCATGTGCATACCTTATATGTGTTTGATCCTCTGAGGCCTGAGGGGGGCGCTGTACAGACAGTGGGAGTGTGCAGTTCTGCTAGAGTCCACACTTCTGGCCTCCTGCAGGAGTTGGGTTTGACCTGTGCAGTCCTGTTTCCTGAGCAGCCAATCCTGATCTAATCCAGACGTTTCTGGAACCAGACCACAGAGCGTGAAAAAACCTCTGTCCAAATTTCAGATGATCCAACCACAGCTGCTCAAATTCATCATCTCTTGAAAATTCATTCAGAACAAAATATAAACTTCTTGAAATAAGTACCATGTTTGTTTTTGACAGAGCATGTGTCTCTCTGATTGGTTAATCCGCCTGTCAATCACACCCTCTGACATCAGGACTGGTGTGAGGTTCTGGCTGGACAGCACTGGAAAAAAAACAATATCTAGGTAAATTAAAATGACTTCAATTGAGAACATTTGACTTTATTTGAGCAGATTCAACTTGACAAGTCAAATGATCTACCAATGGATTTGGTTTCTTATTTTGAGTGCAAAGAGTTGTTGTTTTTCTTATTTTAAGTGTAGCCAGGTGTATTTTCATATGTTTTAAGTGCAAAAAGTCTTGTTCCACTGGCAGATCATTTTACTTGTTAAGAGAAACTGACTCAGATTATGATAAAACTTCCGGAATTCAAGTCATCTTAACTTGACTAGATGTAGAGAACTGTTGTTTGTAAAGACGACTAAATATTTTATCATAAGTGTCTTTAGTTTAGACGGTGATAACGTTTTTGGGGCTTAAAAACAGAAAAATCTGAAACCACCTCCAGAGTGGAAAAGTTGAATAGACTCCACTGTATTGTTTCGGTTTACTCTGCCCAAGACGCAAAACTCTGGTCAGATGTGCTCAGGTCGTGTACTTGTTTATGTCACATACATACAGTTCACACAAACAAACATGTGGGATCATTTCCATGCGTCAGACCTTCAATCTGATAAACTTACAGGAGGCAAAACAACAAATGTGGAGAATCTGCAGTGATACTATTAGTGAACAGTGAAGGATCTGCAGTTCTAGATGCACCAGTTGGTCACAGTCGAGTCAGACGGATATGGACCAGACCTGGAGAACCAGTCGATGGTGGGACGACTTTGTGGAAGGAGGAGCTGATGAAAGTGGCGTGGTGTGAAAACTTCTGTATGTCCAAAGATGCTCTTGTTGCTTTAACAAACATACACAATCCAGTTCCACACAGATTTCCTCCTGAAGACGCTCATCTAAACGCGAAATAAAAAGTAAAGACACAACACCACTTTTGCGTCTTCTGTTCAGACCGCCGTCATATAAACGTAGCCAGAGACTGGACATGTGACAGTTTGTGCTGTTCTCCTAAAACACACACCGTTCCAATAAAAACAGATACTTTTTTTATTCAAGTGAACAGTATACGCTGCCGTACAATCACTGCAGTGTTTTTCACATGAGTCTGGGAGCATGATGGAGCAAAACTATCAGGTTCTATCATATGATTTGATCTGATCATTTTGCTCCATCGGCGTTGTGTATTCTGGTGTTTGTCTCCGCTCAGATAAACACGTCTGAGAAGCTGCTCTATGTCCAGTGTCCAGCAAGGAGAGGAGGGAGGGGGCTGCAAGGAGGAGGAGGGGGTCAAGCTGTGTAAAAATAGTAGAGCCGGACACCGTCTTAAGTTTCAGCCTATGGACTCTGACCTCTCTCTATCTAACACACTTATTTTGATTTCACTTTTAGTAAACATGTGTTGCAGCAACTCACATGAAAATTACAGATTTCTTCTGATCCACCATTTTAAAGGATTTTGATGAGATTTTAATTCCATAAACATGATATCATGTTTTTGGTAAATGTGCTAAACATGATAAACATGTTCAAATCAAATATAACTTCTTGATAAATATTATAAAACAGATTTATTTTTAATTATAGCGATATTGGACATGACGGACAAGCTGCTCATGGACTCATTTGGTGATGATCAACATTTTAGATCACAGGTTTCAAATTGGGTGAATGTGAGAGCTGAACTTCACATGAGATCTGAACATAAACTGAGAACGAGACAAACTTGGATGTGTCTGTCTGCAGGTGAAGACTCTGGAGACACAGGCTCACATGTGATTGTAGAACCTTTTATGAAGACAGTAAGAGCACAGACGACACACAGCTCCTCCAGGAACATTAAAACACAATAAACCACATGAACAGTCATGTTTAAACACTAAATCCTCTGGAACACAACAGTGAAGTTAATCCAAACACATGAAACACTCTCCTCATCTGTTTACAGTGTTCCTCCAGACTGAGGTCACGCACACTCATATTCACACTGAGTCACACTCTACACCCTCTACTCTACTACTCTACTACTCTACTACTCTACTACTCTACTACTCTACACTCTACTCTACTACTCTACTACTCTACTACTCTACTACTCTACTACTCTACTACTCTACTACTCTACTACTCTACTCTACTCTACTACTCTACTACTCTACACCCTCTACTCTACTACTCTACTACTCTACTACTCTACTACTCTACTACTCTACTACTCTACTACTCTACTACTCTACTACTCTACTACTACTACTCTACTCTACTACTCTACTCTACTCTACTCTACTCTCTACTACTCTACTACTCTACTACTCTACACCCTCTACTCTACTACTCTACTACTCTACTACTCTACTACTCTACTACTCTACTACTCTACTCTACTACTCTACCCTCTACTCTACTACTCTACTACTCTACACCCTCTACTCTACTACTACTACTCTACTACTCTACTACTCTACTACTCTACTACTCTACTACTCTACTACTCTACTACTACTACTCTACTACTCTACTACTACTACTACTCTACTACTCTACACCCTCTACTCTACTACTCTACTACTCTACTCTACTACTCTACTACTCTACTACTCTACTACTCTACTACTCTACTACTCTACTACTCTACTACTCTACTACTCTACTACTCTACTACTCTACTACTCTACTACTCTACTCTACTACTCTACTACTACTACTCTACTACTCTACTACTCTACTCTACTACTCTACTACTCTACTACTCTACTACTCTACTACTCTACTACTCTACTACTCTACTACTCTACTACTCTACTACTCTACTACTCTACACCCTCTACTCTACTACTCTACTACTCTACTACTCTACTACTCTACTACTCTCTCAGTAAATACATCAGCGTCAGCTCGTCAGCCTGACTGTGTCATATACATCCACACATCATTTGATCAGAGGTGGCATTTGATTAAAGCCAGTGGCACATGAACCACGAGGAAGAACATCTGAAGTGAATGTAATGTAAGGACAAAATATGAAATAAGGACAGAAAAAAAAAAAAAAGATTATATCCGAAGGAGCTGCAAGAAACACAAATATTCAAATCATTTAAGATTTTCCTGTCATTTTCTGTCACTTTGGACTGTCTCACAGTGAGGAAGAGGAAGCACAACTTTTACTCAAGTACCTCTACTTCAATAGAAATATTATTAAAGGTACACTGCTAGAAAAGTACTCTGAAAATTACATTTTTTTAAGTTACTCAAGTAAATGTAACTATCCACGTCTGCATATCCTCTAGTGCCTCTACAGGTCACTGTGGACCCTCCCACACTCTGTTCTGACTAGGGATGGGCATGATTAATCGATTAATCGATAATTGATCATTAAGAATTTCATCGATTACCTTAATTTTAATCGACAAACCGAATGTAGGTTGCTGTGTGTAGCGTGACCAAACAGGTCTGTACATGTGTCTCTGCACTCAGAAGGAGCGAGACACAAACAGTGGGTCAGTCTCCAACGTACCGAAGCACAAATGTGTATTTAACGATGATTTGTACAAGAAATTCCACGCTTTCTGTTGTGTTCGGGACAAGTGTGAGTCCATGTGCACAGTGTATAAAGCAGCACATATGTTTCGGTGTCCAGTGGGAAAAAGTTTTACCAGGTGAGAGTCGCTCAATATGGATGATGAGTCCCCACCCCCCTCCCCCCGTACGGTGTCCTGGTTTTGACAAACACAAATCTGGTCACACTAACCTGTATTCACCTGAGTCATGTCTTTTAATCCAACAGAAATTGACCGCATCAGCGACACAAGAGCTGTAGTTTTATCTTCACTTAGTTTATGCAAATTAGTGATGTGGTTTTAAGTTTTGTTTCTGTGAGAGTTGAGCAAAACTGAATTAAACACATTATAATGTCAAACGGATTGATGTGACTCTAGAGTCGTTACAGTTTATATGTCATAAAGTTGAATTTATTTATGCAGATTAGAAGTGCAGATAGTAATAATAATGATGATCATTTTAATATAAAAACATTAATGATTAATCGATAATTGATTGTTAATTCTTCCGACGATCGATTAAGAAAATTTCATCGAATGCCCATCCCTAGTTCTGACTGCCACACAGTGTAGTGCATTTACATGCCCTCAGAGACATGTCCCTGCCACAGCCCTGAGGACACAGACACATGTCCCAATAAATATTGTTGAATCTTTAATGTTCTCAGTTCCTCATTTTACCCAGCATGCTTCAGGCCTCACCTGTGTTCTTTGCCTCCTTCTGTTTACAGCAGAACTTTGAGAGATGGGACAGAAGAAGATCTGAGCTCACCAGGAAGTTGGTGGAAAGTGAGTGTTTTGTTCTTACACACCAGTTTTATAAATGGGATTTCACTTTCAAAGAGAGCACTTGGATGACACTGACTTGCCTGCAAATCCAGATTCACCTGTCTGTATGTTTGTATTAGTTTGTTTGTATTTGTTTGTTTGTATTTGTTTGTTTGTTTGTTGTTGTTCCTGACCAGGGGTGGAGTTAGCAATGTGGGGGTCCTAGAGCAACTTGAGTTTGGGGCCCTCACTATAATCCACTATTTTGATGTTTGTTTGTTTGTTTGTTTTTTTGTTTCTATTTTTAAATATATATTGTCTGTTTTTCCCTATTGTTCTTGAGACAAGCACATCTTTATTTGAATTAGGGTGGTTACTGTAGGCCGCCTACTACATAAACAGAGCTAAAGTCGTTTTTTTATGATTATGTTCAAATCAGGGTCAAGCCGTCTAGTCCATTCTAACATGGACATTTAATGTCATATTGAGTGAAAATCTAATTTCTCTGAGGCCTCGGCCATTAGTGGCACTGAGGGATATTGGTTGGGGGCCCTTCTGGGGTCGGGGACCCTAGGGAGCTGCCTCTGCTCCTGACCAGGCCTATAGTTGATAGAATTATTGACTAACATTATTTCCTCAGAGCTGTTTCACTTGCACTTACGCAATAAATATTTGTAACTTAAATACTTTGGAAAAACACAGTTAAACAGAGGAATTTCCCAAAAAAGGCAAAGATAATATTACACAATCTGGACTTTTATGTTTAACACAATAAAGTACACGCACTGTGCAAAGTATAAAAACATACAAATAATCATTAACCCTCACTGTGCAGTATATTAACACATACAGAGAGACAGTATCAAAAGCATGACAAAAGTGTGTAGTCAGTGTTGTGTGTTGGAGCCACACTATATTTAGGCCTTGTTGCTGTGTTGACGTGGGGCAGTAAAAATAGAGGAGTGGAACCCGGCTCCCCTCAGAGCAGACGCTACACCAGGCTACACACAGCAGCACCTATAAACCCAGAGAGAGAGAGATACGACTACAAGGTAAGGATATGCCCACTCACCCATTCACCCTCACCCACTCACTGTCACCCACTCACCCACTAACCCACTCACCCTCTGACCCTCACGCGCAGAGCCAATGTGACCATGGAGCTACTGTCATGTCATTAGAGCCCAGCCCTCACCTCACATACCGGCGTAACACACGACTGAGCCTGGTTTTGTTTGGAGATTAACACGGAGCCAAAGAGCTGTGTGCTGTGAGGAAACAGATCATCACTCATGTTCACACACTCATCAGCACGCACGCTCTTAAAGCACACTGTCAAACCTCTGCTGCTTTCAAATGGACATCTCATCTTATTGTCTTCTGCTCGTTATATTCTAGAGAAAGTCCAAGTACAAGGACAGAGCGCACAGCGGAGCATGGTGCTGCTGGTGCTCAGGAGGGGGAGGAGTTTAGATGTGCACATGTGTTACAAACATTAAGGGCAATGCAGCTTCAGATATCAATATATACTACTCACGTTTAAAACAGGGAGAACGCTTCTGGATGAGCAGAAAGACACCTCCTCAAACTAAGAACATGTGATGATGAGTGTGTTTAAGAGGGACCGTTACGTGTCCCACTGTGAGACAGGTGTGTGCAGATTGTGTATTGTTGAAACTAAAGAACAGTAAAAGGATTCTGCACATTCTCTGTTTATTGGGCCTCTGTGGGCCCCCGTGGGCCTCTGAGGGCCTCTGTGGGCCTCTGTGGGCCAACAATCCTCCAGCTATAGACCTCCTGAGCACACTGTACTATTAAACAGTTCTATATGTGGTAATGTGTGAGTAACAGAAATGGTTAACTTACAAAAACTGACTAAAGTATAAAACTAACAGACCCTCATTTTCAGGGCAGAAGGCAAGGACCAAATCACAGTGAGACTTTCCTACTTAAACAAAGACAGTAGTGATATAAATTAGAGCGAGCCTAGTAGCAGCTTGTCTGTTCACCAGGACCACCAGTCTGTAGGTGGTGAAAGGTGTGAGCCTGGAGCTGTGACCGATCAGGAGAAACAGACCTTGTGTTACTGGAGCACTGCCCTGGAGAGTGAGAACGTCAGGGAGACTAAACCTTAAACCAACTCACTTCACTTTGTCTTTCACAGATTTGTATGATGATATAATGAGATAAAACCCAGACCCTACCTGATGTGTGTGTGTGTGTGTGTGTGTGTATGTGTGTGTTTGTGTGTGTGTATATGTGTGTGCATGTATGTGTTTATGTGCGCGTGTGTGTGTTTGTGTGTACATGTGTGTGTGTGCAGGTGAGGATGAGTAAAGACGGGCGGCGCTCGTTTGGAAACATCAGCCTGAAGGATCGGTGGGAGCAGAAGGCCCAGAGCATCGCCGACCAGAACAAGCAGGAGAAGGAATGGCAGAAGAAGAGCTCCAATTCTGTGTGTGTACCAGACTGAACCAGACTGAACCAGACCGAACCAGACTGAACCAGACTGTACCCGACCCAACCAGACAGAACCAGACTGTACCAGACCAAACCAGACTGAACCAGACCCAATCAGACTGAACCAGACCAAACCAGACTGAACCAGACTGTACCAGACCAAACCAGACTGAACCAGAACCAATCAGACTGAACCAGACCAAACCAGACTGAACCAGACTGTACCAGACCAAACCAGACTGAACCAGAACCAATCAGACTGAACCAGACCAAACCAGACTGAACCAGACCCAACCAGACTGGAACAGACCAAAACCAACTGACTTAGACAAACCAAACTAAATTGATCCTGTCCAGATTTAAAGGTGACGTTGTCTTTTGTGGTGCACACAGTAGATTTGAACAGTTTCTCTCACTCACAGACGTACGTCCAAATGGTCGTACCACCACAAACTCATCAATGGCATGTCCGACTTCAAGAAAGCCACGAGCCACCTGGACGACGATGAGGAAAATAACAAACCAAAGCTCCGCTTCAAAGTGGTGGCCCCTCCCCCGCCAAAACCCAAAACCCCGCCCCCAGCCCCACCCCCTGTCACTCGCCGCAGAGACTCGCCCAAACTGAAACGGGTCAAGCGCAAAGTGGAGGTGGATGCCTTTAAGATCTGCTGGAAGGACTCCTGGATGAGCCTGAAGCCGCCCAAATACCTGTTCCTGAAGGCCATGGATCTGCTGGAGCGCCTGGGCTTCACCCCCATCCAGGTGGGCAACGACAGAAGATACAAGGGACAACCACAGCCGAAGGAGGCCAGGACGGCTTCCCCCGAACTCTGGAGTCACTCGTGGAAAAAGGTACCAGCTGTTACCTGTGAACGACCCATTACTCTATGAACACTGAGCCTATAATGTATTCTCATCCAAGGAACTGTGTTGCATTTGACTTCATCCAGTTCACACAGAGGTCATAGAGTATCCCAGTACTGTTACTTCAAAAGAATATTACTCAAGTAGAAGTATAAAGAAGTGGACTTAGAAATTACTCAAGTAAGAGAAAAAAAAATGACTGGGAAAACTATTACTCAAGTAAAAGTAACTTAAAGAGTAACATCTGATTTCTAAATTAAACTGTGTACTACACACCTCTGACTCCATGTTCCTGTAACCCTGTACATTTAGTCATTGTTCTTTGTCTCTGTGGTTTGTCTTGCTCCAGACAAAGGGTCCTTTTATCGGCGCAGACTTTGATGAAGAGGAGTATGAGTGGGAGCTCCTGTGTGCCCAGAGGCCCGCCAGAGCCGCAGCCATCGCCCCGTACTCACTTCCTGTGTGGGCAGGAACCTGGAAGATCATGAACTTTCCTTTCCGGCAACAGAAGCCCATGTGGGACCATCCCTGGTCCAAGTATGACCAGATACCCACAGACCGGCTGGACCTCATCCTGAACATTGATGAAGAGGTGAGTTTTCTTGTATCTATGCAGCAGTGCTCTTTTATCTAGTCTCTGGTTCTACTCAAACATTTTCACTAGTGTCACCATGTTTGTTGAGTTTGCCTTTGACAAGCATGACATCACAAGGTGGAAGAGAGGATTTTGAGCTTCTAAGATGTAGACACACTGAACGGGTGTACAGGTACAGATGCTGACAGGCTAAAAGTCAATTTTGCGTAATATAGAACCTTTAAACTGAATCAGTGGGAGTCCATTTGGCAGTGAGCACCACAAACTAGACAGCATAGGCCCTAGTACTCAGCCCTGTGGTACACTCAATCACTCTATACACTGTATTGTCTTTCTTGTCAAAGAAACTAATGTTACTAATGTCATAAACAGTTTTCAGGCATTACAAACATTTGGAATAAAGATTTTTTTGTTCTGGACACACAAGAAAATTTGTATTTGGCGTAGGATTGTCAAAAGTATCAGATGCTAAACAATATTAAAACGAGTATCAAAACAAAATGTTCATTGGAGCAGGTATCAATACCAAAAAAAAGTCCCATTGACAGGACAGAATGAACCTTCCTCAATGTCTTTAGAATGAGCTGGATCAGAACAAGTGTCAGAGCACAGAGACTAGTACACACACATGGACCAACATGAACCTACTGCACCACTGACCATTACACACATATAAGACACATGGGAACAGAAAAGAAAGCACTACATTCTAGTGTCAATAATAATATTGTGACAACACTAATTTGGTGGCATAGGCTCTTTGCAACACGTTCCTGAGTGTGTTTGTGCTTTAAACAGTTCCTCATCATCTGTAGAAGCTGCAGGAAATGTTAAAGAAGACACATAGTAGTTCTATTCAAATAGGGTCTTTAGCTGTGGTTTTGTCCTTTCTAACCCTCTTGTTCACTGCAAGTTTACTGCTCAACTGGAAGGGGGGGGGGGGGGGGGGGGGGGGGGTGGGGGGGGGGGGGGTGGGGTTGGAGTGATACTCAGCTCAGCACATTACCCCACATACAAACTGGCAACCGAGTGCCTCGCCTCACAGCGTGCAGGCTCTGGATTCAGGGTTGGGTTACTGGGTCGCCGGGCATTTCTGTGTGGAGTTTGCATGTTCTCCCTGTATCTGGTTGGAGTTTGCATGTTCTCCCCGTGTGTGAACCCCATCACCCCAAAACTTGCACTCCAGGTCAAATCCTCCAGCTGAGGTAGTCCTGAGGCAGACTAGCTCAAGATCTGCAGATGGGTCCCTGGGTGCTGCTGTGGTTGCCCCAGCAGCAGTGAAGGTTGGGTCAAATGCAGAGGACAAATTTCCTACTGGGGCAATAAACCTCACCACAGTATCTGAGAAGATACGTGGACATATGTGCCAAACATGACAGTGCCACATATTTCCATTTTAACGCTGCACATGTTCTCTGTACACAGAACACACACTGGGCGTACACAGGCTTCAAGTTTCTGATGTTCTCTGTTCAGGTTCACTGTTTTATTTATCTACTCTTTCATATTAAAATGACTCAGTCTTTAATAATTCCAGTGACCCAAAATGAGTGTGACCACACAATGGCCCCAGACTGGCTCTGCTACATTAACTACCTGTTTCCCCGTGAGGCTGACAGCATGCTAACGGCTACAGTGCTAACAGGTTTCTTAAATAGATGATAGAAAAGTGCACAGATGAACAGGTACACACGTCGTCATGTGCTGTGTGCTGTGTGCTGTGTGTGCAGGATGAGCTGTTTGACTGGGACGGCTGGGAGGTGTCATACAAACTGTGTCTGTGTGAAGAGGAGCACCCCACAGGCCTGAGGGACCTCACTGCTCCAGGCTGGAGCCAGTCCTGGACCCTGGGCCAAGTGTGTGTGCCCACCCCCGAGCAGGAGCGCTCCCAGTACTGGCTGTGGGGCGGGGGCCGCACCTGCAACTACAGGTACATCAACTCCAAACAAAACCTGTAACACTTTATAATAACCACACTGTAATTAGCCTTAATAAAGCATGAATAAAGACTCATGCATCATGAACAGAGAAAGTCCAAACACTGACCCTGCATCAGTGTGTCTGCTGAAAGTGTGCACAGCAAAAAGTCTCACACAATCTGTCTGAACATTTTCTCACGGTTAAATCTGTTCTAGAGTTAATTTAACATTTTTGGAAATATTCATTAAGTTATTAATTAAGTTAAGAACAAAGTTCCTGTTTAACCACGAATATTCAGTGCATGTAAAGCCTTTATTTCCTTTAAAACATTGTAAAAGATGAAATTCTGTCCAAAACTGGTTCAAACTGGAGTTTGAAGTGGTGGCAGAAGCGGCCAAATTAACACCAATGGAATTCATTTCAACCACATCAACTCAAAATATCCCCAACTCAAACCCGCATTTAACTTTGAAATATCTAAAAAACACTTGTTGTGTTAAAAATAACTCTGCAGTATTTGATCCTGAAATGTGAAGCCTCCAGTTTTTGTGTGTGGTGTGTTGCAGGTGGGGCCAGAGCACTGTGCAGTCTCAGCTCAAACACTGTGAGGTCCGCATGAAGACACGTCTGACCACCACCCTTCTGCTGACCGCCGCCCTCCACCACCAAGCACGCCCCACAAACCTCCAATCAGACGCCAGCGAGCAGCCGGACTGGACCGACTCCTGGAGGACCGTCAAAGGAGAAGTCGTACTGGAAGACAAAGAGGAGGAGGAAGAGGAGGAGGAGGAAGAAGAGGAAGAAGAGGAAGAGGAGGAAGAGGAGGAAGAAGAGGAGGAAGAAGAAGAGGAGGAAGAAGAAGAGGAGGAGGAAGAATATGAGGAAGGGTATGAGGAAGAGGAAGAAGAGGAAGAAGTAGAAGTGGAAGAGGATTATGATGTGGAGAAGAACAAAGTGGATGTAAAGTGTGATGTTTCTCCTCACTCTGCTGAAAATACAAAAGTCAAGAGTGAAATGTCATTGACAAAAAGTAAAGACGTCCAAGAAACAACAATTCACCAAGAAAAACAAAAGACTCAGGAGGAGGAAGAGGAGGAGGAAGAGGAGGAGACAAAGGAAGAAGAAGCAGAAGAAAGGAAGCATATGATGGAAGTTAAGGAAGAGACTAAAGAAACAGATGAAGAAGATGAGGAAGAGGATGAAGAAGACGAGGAGGAGACTAATGAAGATGAGAGGAAGCAGGAAGAAAAGGAGGAGAGGGAGACTGAGAAGGTGAAAGAGGATGAGAGAGGAGAAATGGATGAAGAGGAGGAGGAAGAGAAGGAGACTGAGACAGAAGAGGAGATGAATGAAGAGGAAGAGGAAGAAGAGGAGGAGGAAGAGGATAAGAAAAACGAAGAAGGGAGGAGGCAAATGGAGGAAGAGGATGAGGGGGTGGAGATTGATGTAGATGATGAGGAAGAGGAGAAGGAGATGAAGGACAAGACTCTAGAAGAGAAAAAGGAGGAAGATGGTGAGGAGAAGAAGAAAGCACTAGAGGATGAGGAGAGGAAGGAGAGAGATGAAGAGGAGAAGGTGAAGGAGAAGATGGAGGTGAAGGGGGAGGAGGAAGAGGAAGAAGCAACGGAGGACGAAGAAGAAGAAACTCCTCAAGAGGAAGAGGAGGAGGAGGAAGAGAAGGAGGAGGAAGGAGGAAGAGGAGGAGGAGGAAGAGAAGGAGGAGGAAGAGGAAGAGGAGGAGAAGAGAAGGAGGAGGTGAGTCACATGAACAGCTCACATTTGACCAATCACACTTTTAAGGAACACACACAATACTACAGTACAAATACTACTACAGTACAAATACTACTACAGTACATATACTACAAATACTACTACAGTACAGTACAAATACTACTACACAGTAAACTACTACTACGGTATACAAATACTACTACTACTACAGTACAAATACTACTACAGTACAAAATACTACACTACAGTACAGTACAAATACTACTACAGTACAAATACTACTACAGTACAAATACTACTACAGTAACAGTACAAATAACTACTACTACAGTACAAATACTACTACAGTACAAATACTACTACAGTACTACTACAGTACAAATACTACATACAAATACTACTACACTACAGTACAATACTACTACACTACTACAAATACTACTACAACAGTACAAATACTACACTACAGTACAAATACTACTACAGTACAAATACTACTACATACAAATACTACTACACTACAGTACAAATACTACTACAGTACAAATACTACTACAGTACAGTACAAATACTACTACACTACAGTACAAATACTACTACAGTACAAATACTACTACACTACAAATACTACTACACTACAGTACAAATACTACTACACTACAAATACTACTACAGTACAAATACTACTACACTACAGTACAAATACTACTACAGTACAAATACTACTACAGTACAAATACTACTACACTACAGTACAAATACTACTACACTACAAATACTACTACACTACAGTACAAATACTACTACAGTACAAATACTACTACACTACAGTACACTACACACACTACTACTACAAATACAGTACAAATACTACTACAGTACAAATACTACTACTACAAATACTACTACACTACAGTACAAATACTACTACACTACAGTACAAAACTACTACTACACACTACAGTACACTACATACTACTACACTACAAATACTACTACTACACTACATACACTACTAACACACTACAGTACAAAATACTACTACTACAGTACAAATACTACTACAGTACAAATACTACACTACACTACAGTACAAATACTACACTACAAATACTACAACTACTACACTACTACGTACAAATACTACTACACTACAGTACAAATACTACTACACACTACACTACAAAATACTACTACACTACAGTACAAATACTACTACTACACTACAGTACAAACTACTACTACACTACTACAAATACTACTACAGTACAAATACTACACTACAAATACTACTACAGTACAAATACTACTACACTACAAATACTACTACACTACAGTACAAATACTACTACACTACAAATAGTACACTACACTACAAAAAGTACTACATTACACTATAAATACTACACTACAAATACTGCACTACAAGAACTACACTACACTACAAATACTACAAATAATATTACAGTACAAATACTACACTACACTACAAATACTACACTACAAATATGACACTACACTACAAATACTAAACTATACTACACTACAGTACAAATACTACTACACTGCACTACAAATACTACAGTACTCTAAAAATACTACTACAGTACAAGTACTACTACACTACAGTACAAATACTACTACACTACAGTACAAATACTACTACAGTACAAATACTACTACACTATAGTACAAATACTACTACACTACAAATGCTACTACACTACAGTACAAATACTACTACATTACACTATAAATACTACACTACAAATACTGCACTATAAACAACTACACTACACTACAAAACTACAAATAATATTACACTACAAATACTACACTACACTACAAATACTACACTACAAATACGACACTACACTACACTACAGTACAAATACTACTACACTGCACTACAAATACTACAGTACCCTAAAAATACTACTACACTACACTACAAATACTACAGTACCCTAAAAATACTGGGCTCACTGACCGACTGTGATCAAACCCACTGAAGTAAATGTGATCAGAGGTAAAATGCAGACTGCAGACGTATGTGCTGTTTGGAATCATCTGGAGTTTGTCTCGTCTCTTCTAATCACATGCACCAGTGCACTTGGAGTTGTGCATCAAATGATGAAAACTGAGGGATGGTTGGAATTGTTGATTAGCCAAACATAAGGGAACATGGAACATAGTCTTTTTGTTTTAAGTTTTGTTTCTGTAAAAAATGTAAACAAATATGCTCAAAGTTGTGTGGATAGGGAAGGATTGCGGACAGAAACGACGTGTCTGGACACAGATCGTTTTCGATCAGGTGATACGTTGATTAGTGTAAACGTAGCCACAGATGTTCCTCACATTAATAGATTGATATTCAAAAAATACTCTTGGTGGTACTTTATATCGATGCAGCAGATACTGTGTCATCACTTAAAATATAATATGATATATCGATATTTCGATATTTTTGCACACCCCTAGGGACAACCTTGATCTGTTTAAGAAATGTTTATTGAGGAAAGTAACAGCAGTTTATTCAGTTTATTTCAACTCACTTCATCTGATTTTTACAAATGTGAAAATCATTTGCAGTGATCTTCCTCACGATCCAGGGTGAAAAAATGCATAGCACACTCGGTTGGCCGATGTCCAAATACTTTTTTATTAACAAAATAACATTTCAGCAAAAAAAGTCTTCATCAGCTATTTTTCTTGTCTTGGACCACAGCACACAAAATGGTTGCCAGCCCAGGTGCCCGTATACCCTTCAATGAATGGGAGGTCCCAAAGTGAGGTCACCCAGTGAGTTCAGCCCATTCTACAACAAGAAACAACAGTTTACATAAAAAACATTTTATAAAATACAGAAATAGTTTCAGTTTATCACAAAAAAACATCTTAAATCAAACTCCACATTCAGTCCATGAGGAGTAAGAGGTTTAAGATGGTGAATCCAGAAGTGTTCTCTTTTTGACAGGAGCATTTCTAGATCTCCACCTCTAGGGGGCAGTTCCACATGTTCAATGCCAATATATCTTAAGAAAGAGATAGGACGGTTAAAATCAACAAAATGAGGTGCCACAGGATAGTTCATGTTTTTACATCTGATTGTACTCCTATGCTCTGCAATCCGTGTTTTTAAAGCCCTGCTGGTTTTACCCACATAAGCTTTACCACAGGGGCAGGTGATCATATAAATCACAGACTTCATATTACAGGATATAAATCCTTTGATCATTATTTCTTTTCCAGTGTGAGGAGCTTAAAACTGTTGCAGTGATATGTGTAGTTACACTGACTGCACCACCACAGCGACGATTTCCATCAGGGACAGGAGTCAGTATAGTTTGGTATGATGTGGTTTGATTAGGAGGAAGGTAGGAGTGCACAAGTCTATCTCCAAGGTTTCTTCCTCTTTTATACACCACTAGGGGGAGCTCTTTGAAAGCCACACCCAATGAAGGATCAGTTTTTAGTATATGCCAGTGTTTAGTTATGATGTTTTTAAGTTGTTCTGCGGGTTTTGAGTATACAGTAGAAAATATAATCTGCTTATTGGCATTTTTGGGAGGGTTGACCCTCAGAAAATCAGATCTAGGTTTTCCTTTAACTTTAGTGGCAGCATCATTTAAAATAGATTTCTTATAACCCCTTTGTTCAAAGTTTGTCATCATATTACTTAAATTTCTTTCAAAGTCATCAGTTTTGTGGCATATTCTTTGAAGCCTACAAAATTGGCTGTATGGGAGACTCTTTTTCAATGGAAGTGGATGCTGAGAGTCAGCTCTAAGTAAAGAATTTCGAGCTGTAGGCTTTTTATATAAGTCCGTGTACATCTTGTCAATCTTGGTGTGCATTTTCTGTTTCTTTTGTTTCCTCACGATCCAAACACATCCTCATGATTCAACTTTTAAAAACCAGGTCATCACAGTAATGTTTACAAGCACTGGCATGTGAACAGCGTGGTTCCTGATTCTCTGTGTAATAATGACTGTTTCTCTGAATCTTCTCTCAGGATTCACAAGCAGAGCAAGCAGAGGAAGACAAAGACGAGGAGGATGATGAAGAGGAGGATGAGTTTGTGGATGCAGACGAAGGAGAGGAGGAATCTGAAGAAGAGAAAGAATCCTTTGTGGATGTGGAGGAGGTGTGCATCACTGAAGAAGTGGACCAAAAAGAGAAGGAGGGAACCAAGGAGGAAGAGGAGAAGGAAATGAGTGAAAAAGCTGAGGAAGAGGAGGAGGAAGAGGAGGAAGACAAGGACAAGGAGAAGGAGGAGGAGAAAGAGGGAAGCAAGGGAGGAAAAACAAAGGAAGAGGAATTAGATTGGAATAATGAGGAGAATAAAGAGGAGGAAGAGGAGGCAGGGGACGAAGATGAGAATAAAGAGAAGGAGGAAACAGAAAGAAAGGTCAGTATAGATGGAGAGGAAACTGAGGAAGAGGAGGAGGAAGAGGAGGAAGATGATGAAAGGCAAAAAGGAGACAAAATAGATGAGGAAGAGGAGAATGTTACAGGATCTAATCAACTGAAGAAGAAATCAGACCAGGGAGACAGTGAGGAAGAGGAGGAAGGACACAAAGAAGAGGAGGAAGAGAGGGAAGATACTGAAGAAGAAGATGGAGGAGAGAAAGGAGAGGAAGAAGATGAGGGAGTAGAGGAGGAGGAAAAGAAAGAAGTTGAGGAACAGGGAGATAATGAAGAGGAAAAGGAGGAGGATCAGAAAGATGAGGACAAGGAGGAAGAGGAGGGGGATGAAGATGAGGAAGAGGAGGAGGAAATGGGGGAGGTGAAAGACAAGGAGGAAGAGGAGGAACAGAAGGATGAGGAAGAGGAGGGAGATGAAGAGGGGAAGGAAGAAGAAGCAGTGGAAGAGGTAGAGCAGGAGCAGGAGAGCGGTGCACGTCATCAGAGACGACAAGAACAAACTACAAATGAGGTAAGATTACACCAGGAAGTGACATCAGAACAGAGAAGCTCCGCCTCTCACAAACTGAAAGTAAGAACGCTTAAGCCCCGCCCCCCGGCACCACATAAGCCCCGCCCTCCGGCTCCATGTAAGAGAAGACCTGTGCCCAAAGCTCCCAGAGCGACAGACATCAGGAGGCAGAAGGACGCCATGCTGTCTGTGCCCCCTCACCTGCAGTTCCACAAGCTCTGCTCCTCCTTCTCCTCCTGGAGGCACTCGTCCTGGGCAGTGGCAGTGCCCCACCACAGCAGCGCCAGCGAGGAGCCCGAGGGGGAGGGGCTCGGGGACGAGCTCACGGCCTGGAGCGAGTCCTGGAGGCTCTGTCGCTTTAAGAAACCCAGTCAGGACCATGTGGTGTGCTTCTCCTCAGAACACCGCACCACCAAGAGCATCCAGGACTACAGCCCTGCGGTCAAGGAGGGCTGGGGGGACAGCTGGAGGAGCAACCGCTCAGAACACACTCAGGAAGAGGAGGACGCAGAGGAAACAGAAGAGGAAGAAGAGGAAGAGGAGGAAGAGGAGGAGGAAGAGGAGGAGGAAGAGGTTTACAGCTGAGAACAGCTGAGGACTTGTGGTTGTATGGTCCAGAGCTAATGCTCCCTGAAGGTCTGCTCCACAGACCAGGATGAGGCTCTGGCTGTGCTCCAGTGTGCTGACTTAAATGTGTTCAGGAGATCTCAGAGACGTGTGCTTCAGTATGAAACAGTGTCCTTCAGAACCTGTGGCATGTCAGCTCAAAACAGTTGAACATTTTGTTAGATAAATATGAGGTCCTTACAGATGGCACGCAACAGTCTAAAGGTATTTGGAGAGAAAGGACTCTTCTCCACAATAAGGTGGCTCTTAATGACACGTGTCACTTACACTGGAGCCTCAGTGAGGCATGTGCTTCGGACTGACAGGGTAACTGACCTCACAGCAGAAGGGTCAGACTGACAGAGGGACTGGCCTCACAGCAGAAGGGTCAGACAGTGGTGAGGTCACGTGGGTTCGGAGCCTGTTGTGTTGGAGATTGTGATTGTTGATCTAAACTTGTGAATAGTGCTTTTCCAATAAAGACCCTTTGGTCCGACACATTTCTCTTTACTTCCTAAACGTGAACAGGATATTTATGCACAGACACTGGAGTCAAGGCAGGTTCAATGCTTTGCCCATGGGCACAATGGCAAACAATGGTGCGAGCTGGAATCACACCACCAGTCTTTCTTGGTAGGTAAACGCTCTATCGACAGACACCAAGTCTTTTCCATTTTTTCAAAGTCCCCCCACCTTATTGAGTCGCTGAGCCTGTAGTTTATATACATTTCAGGGTGCCATGGGGTGCCATGACACCCTGGGGTGATGGTGTTAACGACTCTGCCGCTCTCTCCCTGAGGTCTGAGCTGGAGCTGTTATCTCTGTGTGAAACCTCGTCACAGGGTTTAGGCTTAGGCTCATCTGTGACTAACCCAATTATAAAAGACTAAATGTTTGTCCTTTGAGATTTTCACAGAGATCAAACCAGAATGATCCAGGACTTGGATGGGAGACTTCTGGGAAAATCAGGTGCCACAGGTTTTGTTTCAATGTTTCTTTATGCAGAGGGATACTGTGGAACATTCCAGGCAAAGCAATGACACCTGACAGTTACCTTCTAAGTGACTCTTGATTGAGTAGTAGTTTTTTGAAATACTTTTTTATTCTTACTTGAGTAATTTCTTCAGCCACTACTTTGCTTGGCTATTACTATTTTAAATAACTTTTACTTGAGAACAATTTTTGGATCCTCTACCACCCCCGATAACATCACCATGGAGACGAGCAGGTGGCAGACCTTCTACCAGAAATGTTCCATAGTGAACTTTTTCTCATTCGTGTGTGTAGAATCCCTCAGTGGTCCAGGCAGAATCCACGGCACAAGGATAAATCCATTTAGTCAACTGGATAAGTTTCTGGCGTTGTCCACCAGCATCTGACCAGAACTGAAGAAGCAGCTTGGATGAGCTGCGAAATGTATTTGACCAAATAAACTTTTGTCCAGTTGACAAACTGAATTTCTCCTTTTGCCTTTCCTCATTCACTTCACCTGCTCCCATTGGATCAAGCAGCACATGAGTCCCTGAGCCTGCCTCCACGTGTTTGTAATGAGCTGTTCACTGTGTCAAGTTTTGTGTTTTGGAACAAGTCAAAAAATCCAGAGCCAGAACTTCAGGTCCACATCTGTGTGTTTACATGAAATATTAACACAGCAGTGCACTTAAAAGCTGTACCTACTGCAACTAAAGGTGTAACGAAGAGTGCTCTAAAATGACACAGTGTCCAACCCCCCTTCTAGAAAGTTCCATGCTGTCTTTCTCTGTGTTTGCTGATTTTGCTCTCAAGACAAAGGTAATTTAAGGCACAATTATTGTCTTCCTCTGCATTTGACCCATTCATCCCTTGTCACTGCTCAGGGACCCATCTCCGAGACCCAACACAAACTGTCTGAGATGTGACGTCACTCTAGCTTTAGTCATACCAGCACTATTAGTTTCCATCATAAGCTGCTGTTTTGTGTAAGATCTGTCACGCAGCTTGGCCTCTGATCCCGAACAAATGACTTGAGCAGGAAATAGTCCGAATATCTTCCATAAAGGAACATTCTCCGATACTTCACCTCTGCTCAACCTTCCACGCAGGAAAACAGCTGTCATTTTACATTTGTTCATTTCATAATTCACAATTGTTTTATTGGAGCACTTGAGCCCGAGCCCAGCGCTAGACTAGACATATTAACTTTGTGTATTTCAAAGTAACAAAACTGCATTTTAACATGATTCATTTTAGCTGCAACATATCTATCTTAAATACTACAAATTTCTGATTCAGTTAGATAAGGTACATTCAGTGCAGGATACATACAGAAAATACACAGAAAAAAGCTTAAAAAACCAAAACAACACCAAATGCATTGATGTTTACCATCCACCTATTAGACTTAATTCTATTCAGTAAAATGTAGTGTATTTTCCGGACTGTAAGTTAATGTAGTTACTATAACTTGCCTTTCAAGATGAAAGGCAAGTTATAGTAACTACATTGGAATAATGAACAACAGGCTGCTAACGTAGCATATGAATAGTTATTCAGATAACTATAGCACAAACAACAGAACATAACAAGTTTACCTCTCTTTAACTCTCCATCTCACTGCAGATCACTAAATCTTTTGAATTCTTCATCCTCTGTGTCACTTCTGAGTAACTCTGTGACCTCCGGAGATAAACAGAGCACCGCTTCCTCTTCTGCATAGCTGTCATCAAACTCAGCATCTGTTCCAGTTAGAATTATTCCGGCCTTTCTGAATCCCGAGAGATTGGTTTCCAGGGATTGAAGAGATTGAAGTCCAGGCTTTGTTGATCCATCCAGTGACTTCCAGGAAAGTTGCACGGCGCTCCCTCTGAAATGCCGTAAAGCTGTGTTCTCTATCCCTGCTTTCCACCAGTCCCTCACAAGTTTCTCGCTCACTCCGGATTTTTTTTCTGCTGCTGCATTACCATTTTCGGCTGCATATTTCACTACTTGCAGCAGGACAGCGTTTTTTTCTGGAGCAGACATGCGCAGTAGAGCCAAGTGACAGTGGTACAGCCTAGAGCGCCCTATTGCGATTGTCAGTGTGACAATTTTAATATATAAGTCGCAGGACCACCCAAACCATGAAAAATGTGTTCATACAGCTTTAGAAAACCTTGGCAAATGAGTAGTATTTTGAGTATGAATTTGACAACCCGGTGTGTATCATGTGTATTTTATATTATATGTCTGGCTTTTGCATCGGAACACAGGCTTCATTTTATTTGACACTTTGACACCTGCTTTAGCGATTGATAATGTGTTCTTTATGAGTTTTGCTGCTCGTCTTGCCAAATGCATTTTCCAGTGCCACATTTTGGTTTGTGGTTTAAGGAAGCCCATATTTAAAAACAAATGGCTTCCTTCCACTCCTGTAAATAAGAGATCATGCTGACATTTTCATTAGCTGGTGACAGGGTTAGTCAACAGTCATCGGGAAAAGCAAGCCTGGGTCAGCTGTATGTTGAGTCATTTTTATCAAACCGAATTAGTAAACCATATGCACAGACTCCAAATATTATTAAATGCAATTTACTGTTGTGTGAAGTAGTTAAAGGGACTCTGTTTTGCTATGTTTGGATCATGTTGTAATAAAAAAACATACCTGGAGTTGTGTTTTGTTTCATTTACACATGCCTATTTAGACTGAGTTCTTCTCTCAAATAGAAAACACTCTGTTCCACCTTGTGATGTCATGTGGTATTACATGAAGTGCTCCACTGTGTTTTTAAACCCCACAGACCTTCACTAGAATCATTTGGATTATTTCACCACTGGAATTGCCAATCACTACTGAACAAACTGTAAAAAGGAAGCTCTTTACTTGAAATACTGCTTTAACGTCACGAGATGGAACATTTTGAGTTTTGGACAAACTAAATAGACAAATTAATAAACCAGGATTACTTCAAAACATGTGTGAATGAACCAAAACACTACTCCAGGTATATTTTGATAAGGTAAAAACATAACATGGCTTAAAGCTCCCAAGAATCCATTTTGTCTTATATAGGATCTTGAACATTTTTCTTTCTTGTTATTCCAGGCTGGTACAGAGGATTCATCTTGAAGAACCCCAATGTCAAGGTAATTCAAGTTTAACATCTTCATTATAAAGTCTTTCATTATAAAGTGTGCCTCACATCATGACAGGTATCACAGTGCAATTAAGGATAATTCATCGCTTGTAATAACTGAACAGCTGAAAGGACCGATTATAGCTGTAACTAGAAAATTATACATTGTGGTATAATTCATTTTTTCTGCACAATTAGTTCTTTCTGGGTATTTAAATGTACGTACACTTGTAATGTGGAAGTGGACATTCCAGGCCTCATCACTATGACCCATATTATGTTATTCTCTGATCTATGTTATAATAGATAGATGATTAAATACAAAATTAAAGGAAATAACATTTTTGGCAGTAACAATGAAACATAATAATAATCATAATGAATCATAATAACCATAATAATCATAATAATACAGCAGTAATTCGTAATTTATAGCGATGCGTTGCTGTACAGATGTATGGCTTGTTGTTTCCTCATCAAAAACAGACCCGGAGTTGTGTTTCGTTTCATTCACACATGTTTAACACACAAACGCTGCATATTTAGGATGAATTCTCCACTCAAACGCTTAACACTCTGTTCCACCTTGTGATGTCATGTGGTAACACAGGTGCTGCGGTGTGTTTTTTTAACAGAGCATTTTGAGCCTGTATGCGGCAGGTATGTTTTTGATGAGGTAACAACATTGCAACATTTCTTACAACTCACAAGGACCCTTAATGTGTCACTCCACCACTCTGATGTTTTCTACTATTTTTCTTATTAAGATAAAATAAGACCAAAATAGGACTACCTAATCCCTGTAACCATTTAGAGACCTTGTTGCTTCGATTTGTTAAAAGAAGGTGGCTTAGGTGGTGAGTTTCCAAATTCTCCTACAAGCACTTTTGGTTTTCCCCATCAACCCAAAACATGCACAATTGATAAACTCTTCCAGCGACCGTACTTCTTATGTTGAAGTCTAATCGTATGCCACCCCCGCATTGACGGATGGGTCAAATTTCCCAGTAGGCATAACAAAACGTATCATAACCTGGTTAGATGTGATCGTGTGGTATAAAGAATAACCTTGCTCAATTTTAAATACATTTTGGGATTGAGAAAATAGCTTGGATTATACAGTTGAAGCAGAGGATAGAATAGATATGCCCTCAGATCCTGATTTGTAATTGAGCCCGTTATGAAATGAGCTTGAAGTGACTGAGTTGGCAGACTGATTGACAGTAATAAAAGTGTCAATCACCTGATGTAAAAAAATGTGTGAATATGAAAAGTACCAAGTCTGAATAGAAAATGTCAGCTAAATATAGACTTGAATTTTTAGGATTTAGTGTTATACATTTAAAGATAACTTCTTCCAAGGTCCTATATTAACGCAAAATTTAATCTTGAGAGCTTTAAGCCATTTTATAATGTTGTTACCTCATCATAAATATACCTAGAGTTGTGTTTTGTTTCATTCACACATGTTTAAGTCCCTTTATTATTAGTGTCTACATCTCTAAAGCTCAAAATGCTCTTATACAATATGGTACCATATTTATTGTGATATCGTGGGAAAGCTCACGAAATGTCTGGGAAACTCGTGTTTAGGGATGTAACAAATCTCTTACAATATTTACGCAATATTTTCACAATATACATCTCACAGTATGATATTTATTGCGATATTTTGTGGAGGCAAAACTGTGAATATGCTACTTTTTCCTCCTAAAATGCCTTGACAAGACTTAACCCAAAGAACTAAGACTTAAAAGTGCTTATAAATATTATTTCTTCATGTAGTCTACACTGAAATGGAACAAAGGATCATGGTCTATGTAGTTCCCTCTGTCTTTTTTTTTAGCTATTGCTGCACCATAACTTTTCATTTAAGCAAAGAGACTTTAATTCAATATATTGTAACTATAGATATATTTTAACTTTGACAATACGATGTCGCGATATTCCGGTTATTGTTACATCTCTAGTCTTAATGTTTGATTCGAGATTTCGAGACATAGAAAGCAGGGGTCAGGGTCACTACATTTTTGAGCCCCAACAATTCCAGAGAAATACACATTTAAATTTTATACAATAGATTAAATGTCCTATATTATGCAAAATGTATTCTCGTGAGCTTTTGGCCATGTTATAATGATGTTACCTCATCAAAAACATACCTGGAGTTGTGTTTTGTTCATTGACACATATTGGAGTAACCCTTTTTCTGTTAGTCTGTCTACATCTTCAAAGCTCAAAATGGCCTATTCCACTCCAGTTTTGAAGTTAATACTTTTTTACTTTTAATTTAGTAGATATGGGCAATTTTAGGCTCTACTTAAACCGATATATGTCACGATTAAAAGGTTCTTGTCTTGTTGCGGTGTTCATCAGTCCGCCATTTCCGGAATAAAGTCCATAACAAGTGATAGTTTACTGACGGGTCTCATGCCAATGTTCACGGTTTTTCTCTCAGACATCTTTAGATAAAAGTAATCCTGTGTGAATAGGGCTTAATTTTAAACCAATCATTTTGAGGGCAAAACACTGCTAAATGGTCATTGTCATATATATATTTTGTACTTTTAAAATATCACTAGACAGACAACTTATTATTTGAAAAATGTTTATTTATTCATTTTCATGTATTATTTTTAAAGATGCGGGGTGGCATTGTTACCTCGGTGCATCCTGTCACTTCCCATGCTGCTGTCTGGAATATAAAATATGAATCAAATTTCAATTATGGTAATGCGTCATAATTCAAATATACAAACCTTTGTCCTGTATGGGGCAATGAAGTGGCAAACAAGATCATTTAGTGGTACAGTTACTGGAAGTAACTTACATGGCCGACGCACACACTGTGGCTTCCTCTTTTCTGCACCACTGGAGGGAAAACGAAAACACAACTGTTACATATTTTTCTATTTGTATGTTTATAGTATATACTGTAATACTTATTTGTTACATTAACAATGACACGTATTCAGATCTGTGCGTGCGTACTTTCATTTGTCTGTTTGTCCATTCTTAATTTAATTCCTAAAATGATCATGTTGTTTGACCAAATATAAAGTTGTATGAACACAGTTCTAGTTCCACACAATACATCTGCAGGAAATACTCCAGTACTACTGTATTTGTTATCCCTCCCTCGGCTTTATTCTTATAAAATCACCAGGTCCAAATGTAACAGTTCATTTGCAGGAGCACCTCTCTTCCGCTCGGGCGTCTTTAGGAGCAGCCCTCCTCTGCTTGGGCGTCTTTAGGTTCTTCTCCGCCCGGGCGTCTGCGGCGCGCGCCTGTGTCTGTGTGTACTTGTGTGTGCGTGTGCGTGTGTGTGTGTGTACTCTTGTGTGTGCGTGTGTGTGCGTGTGTGTGTGTGTGTGTGTGTGCACTCCCACTTCAGGGGGGGGGGGGGGGGGTGCCACAGGGGGGGTGCCATGCCATGGTGTGTGTGTGTTTATTGAATGAATGAAACAGTCAGGAAAGCTGTGTGAGGTCACATATTAGACCTCATGAGGCCAGTTATGCTCAACAATGAAGAACCAGACCAGTCAGAGGATTCAAAACTGTTTTCTGGAAAAACATTGACTCCAAGTTGACTGAAAAATTCAAACTCATAAGACCACGGGAAAGTATGTAAAATGGGCCTTGAAGGGGGCTGTCACTTTTCAGTGTTACTCAGGCATGTGTGAATGAACAGTGGAGAAACACCACACGGGTCAAAAATGAAAGTGACTCATTTGTTTTTGGTGAATATAGTATTTCCAAAAGCATATAAAATGTTCACACATCATGTATCACACACATTCCAGCTTGTACACATCAGTGAGAAGAGGTTCTGCAGCAGGTCCAGACCAAACACACGCTGCACTCAAACAGCTGTGTGTTCCATCCAGTCTGCACTTTGTAACAATCAGAGGAGCTCAGGAAAACTGATTTAAAACCAACTAAAGACCTGTGCAGTGAAGAAGAGTGGAGGTGGTGGAACAGTCCAACTGTGTAAAACGATCATTTGAGCAGAGGATGAGCAGACTATCTCCATAGCAACAGTTATGTGTCATAGAAGTGAAATATCCCATGTTACACTATTCTATTTTCTCATCTATGTTTTAATGTTGTTTCCTCTTCACAGACCTGAAGTTGTGTTGCTATTTCTTTCATCACACATGTATAACACACAAACCCAGCTGCATATTTATGATGAGTTTTTCTCTCAAATGAAAAACACTCTGTTCCACCTTGTGATGTCATTTGGTAAGACAGGAAGTGCTCCACTCTTCCATGTACCTTCACCAGACTCATTTGGATGATTTCAACCCTGGAACATCTCTACTGAACTAAAGACAGTGTTGGGGAGTAACAGATTACATGTGCCTGGATTACATAATCAGAGTACAAATTATGAGTAACTGTATTCAGTTACAGTTACTGTTTCAGTGAATGGTAATTGGATTACATGTCGGTATTTTCCTGTTTTCACATTTTGGGCTAAACCAGGACTAAACCACGACTAAAACAGGTCTAAACCAGGTCTAAACCAGGTCTAAACCAGGTCTAAACCAGGACTGAAACCAGGCCTAAACCAGGACT